GGTTGTTTAAATTATTATATATTCCTGAGTGTTTTTGTGTACATCTCCCCATCACTACCACCACCACCCCAAAAATAAAAGAAAAACAGAAAGAATAGAAGCAAATACTGTTGAATGATGATGCCTGAAGGAGATTGTAATCATTGCAATGAAACAATGGTGTAAAGCTGATGTTCTCCCATGTAAACTATAACTCAGTTCACAATAAAAAATTTTTTTAAAAAAGCAAGAACACACACAAAAAGAAAACTTTAGAAGACTTCAGGAAAACCCTAAAAGAACAATCTGACAAAACAAATGAAAAATTGGGAACCATATAAAAACAGCAATTAGAAAGCCAGAAACGAATACTGAGATTCAGAAATAGATAGTACATTGAAAGGACAAAAGAGTAGAATTGAATCAATGGAAGGCCAAATTAGTGAACTTGAAGACAAACCTCTCAGTACTCATCTTTGAGAGCAACCATCAGAAGTAAAAAATTTAAAAATCCAAAGAAAGCCTAAGATTAATAATGTTGGACACTATCAAGAGGAATAATTTACATGTGATTGAAATTTCAGAACAGGAAGAGACAAAAAAAAAATCCAAAGAGAGAGAGAGAAAATTATCCAAGAGTTGTTGGAAGACAATGTCCTTAACATCATGAAATATGCAAAGATAGCCATTCAAGAAGTTAAATGAACTCCAAACAGAATAGACCCCAAAAGAAAATCACCAAGACATATTATAATCAAACTTTTCAAATCCAAAGACAAGGAAAGATTCCTGAGAGCAGCTCAGGAAAAAGGAAAAGTTACCTACAAAGGAGAACTAATAATAAGCTCTGATTTCTCAGCAGAAACCAGGCAGGCAAAGAGACAGTGGAATGACATATAGAAAACTCTGAAACAATCAAGAGTTAATCATATACCCAGCAAACTTATCCATCAGATATGATGACAAAATTAGGACATTTCCAGATAAACAGAAATTAAAAGAATGTTCAAAAACTAGACCAACCTTATTTAAAAAAATACTACAGGGAGTTTTTGGACAGAGAACCACCAACAGCAGATAGCAACCTGAGAATGACATACATGACAATATCACCCAGAACTCAACCCAGATATAGAAATATTCCAAATAAAACAAACCAACTGAGAGGGAAGATCCTTCACATCAAGGATCAAGCCTAGCCTTCAGTACACAGGGTTGATAGGGACAGGCAACTTAGACATTGGCTACCAAAAATGGGGAGTGGGGAGGGCTATAAAGGCATGAAGAGGCTGGCTTACAAGTTTTCAAGAATATGCTTAGTTTCAGAACGAAGACGGTAGGGTAGAATCCCCACTGAATAGTTTTGTCTAGATGGGTCTGGTAACAGGTGTTGGGGTAGAATGAGGATAGGATTCTTTTGATTCAATAGTGAGTAATTATTATCATGACTAATTGTGACTATCACAGCTGTAAAGGTAGAAGATGTGTAACATAAAGGGAGGAGTAGTTACTCTTACATTCCAGGAACAGAGGATCCTAGGACCATGGAGAGGGAAGAGCATGAGCAGAGCATGGGATCCTAACCAGAGAAGCAGAGACCCCAGAACAGAAGCAGAGATGATGGCATAGAGAGATAGAACAGCTGAGGACTCTAGACCCATGGAATGAGAAAGGCTGTGTGCCAGTGGGCAGAAGGCTAGCTTGCAAAATGTGCCCTTTGGTCGTTTAAACGAATATATATTTTCTGTGCGTTTGTGTTCATTTTTAAAAGTGTGGGGCGGGGGGGGGGGGGGTGGCTGGAATAGAGGCAAATAGTGTTAACCAATGGTGGATGGAAGGGATTGTAACCATTGCAATAAAACAAAATATGATTGGTTGGAAGGGATTGTAATCATTGCAATGAAGCAAAATATGATGATCTGTCCTGTAAACTGTCATTCAGTTCACAATAAAAGCTTTAAAAAAACAAAGTAAAACAAACCCACAAGACTGGAAACAGGGAACCAAAGATACCAGTTTGCAACAGCAAGCAAATAACATGAAGTAAAAAGAGGGAATAATGTAGTTGCAGAACTTCCAATGAAGTGGAAATCAATTAGATTTCAAGAAAAAATTTAAATAAACCTAACTCTAACCCGAAAACTAGACCAAGCCTTACTCCTAGCCCTAGTCCAACCCCTACCTGTAACACTAACCCTAGTCCTAACCATAGCCCTAATACTAAATGAAGTCTTAGGCCTTATCTAGACCTAGCCATAGTCCTAAACCTAATTCCTTACACACACCCAAAAAGGATATCTTAAAGTAGAACTTGTATGTGTATTAAAACAGGATCATACAGTTCTTATTTAGTTTTATTGCAGTACAGGAAGGAGTCCTCATGGCACATAGATAAACCACAAGGTCAAACCCACCAGCCATTCTACAGGAGAAAGATGAGACTATCTGTTCCCATAAAGATTTACAGTCTCAGAAACACTAAGGAGCAGTTTGCTCTATTCTGTAGAATCTAAGAGTCAGAATCAGCTCAATGGCAGCAGAGTTTTGTTTTTATAGTGTAATAAAAGACTCAACGCCTTTCCCATCATTGAAATGCTTCATGTGCCACAAGTGAAGGTGATTGTGATGAGTAGTTAGTTGTCGTTTCAAAATGAGGACAAATTGACATAGCATTGAAGGACAGGTACAGATTATCCAGTTTTTAAATGGGATTAGTAACCTAGGGATTTACTGTAGGATTTTAGAGGCAGATACTTTGAGATTATGCAAATACCCTATTTCGCAGTCAGAATTCTTTCTCCTTTTCATGTATAACCCTAAATACTAACTGCCCCACTGCACCCTAACCTCCATTTCCTTTTGGGAGATAAGGGCCTAAAAAATAGGTCTTTTCCATGCTAGCAGGACTGGCTACATAACTTCCAGGTTGTTGTTGTTAAGTGCCGTGGAGTCAGGTCCGACTCATAGCAACCGTATACAGGGTTTCCGAGGCTGTAAATCTTTATGGGAGCAGAAAGCTACATCTTTCTCCTACAGAGCAGCTGGCAGTTTCGAACTTACAGGACCCCTTGCAAAACGAAATTTAGGGCCCCTTATTCAAAAAGCAGGACAAAAAGTGCTTTATAGTTACTGGAATGTAATTTTTCCCCCTTTCTTTTATAATCCCTTTTGATTTGTCATCAGGTTTTAATTTGCTGTTTAGTATCATTCTAAGTAAAGGAAAACTGAAAAGTTAACAGCTCATCTTTATATTGTGCAATGCCAGTTGTAAATGCGTATGTGAGAACATTTAACATGTGTGGAATCCCTGAAGTTACACAATTCATATTTCACAATTGGCACAGGCATGTGGACTTTGTTCTTACCAGAGACAGTGAAAATGCTGCACAGTACGAGCGCAACTGCTTTTATTTCACTTGCTGACACGCTGACATTCTACCAACACATTCTACCTTTGCCTTACTGCTGCAGAAGGAAGGACTGTCCTCTCCCTGATGTGTCCTCACTTTCAGCATGTTGTTGTGTGCCCTTGAGTCAGTTCCAACCCATAGCAACCCTGTATAGGGTTTCTGAGGAGCAGCTAGTGAGCTTGAACCGCCAACCTTGCAGTTCAAACTGACTTTACATTCCAGTGCATTAATCCACAATGCCATACCAGGACTCCTTTCAGCATAAATGGTTGGATAATACAGGGAAGTAGCCGAGGAAGAAAGGAGGTGAGAGTTGTTGGGGTTCCTTTGAGCTATTGCCTCTTCTATGCATTTGAAAACTTCTGGCTTGAATTGAAAGCTGGGCCTCTTGGGTCAGTCATACATGCATCTTACTTGTTTTTCTTGCCTGTTTTTTCTCACTCTGCACCTTGCTCAGTTCCACACAGTGAGCCACTAGATTTTCATAGGGCATTGTGAATGGCATCTGTGTATCAGGAGGCCAGGAACGAAGACGACATACATGTTGTGTGAATCCCCTCTGTTGTGTGCCTGCTCCACTGTCCCACAGACTGTACTTAACAGAACACAGTTTCAGAGATAAAGGCAACTCAAGACAGCCACAGCAGAGCATTAAACCAAGTGTGGGGCCCTTCGGAGCCCAGGGCTGTGTGTGACTATAGGTATGGTCAGCCCACCCAGCCTCACCTCTCCCTGCTTCCTCCACCAGACAGCCAAACAGAACTAATGCAGTTTCTCCAAGCCAGCTGTGCTGTTTCCTTCACCCATGTTTCTCACAGTGGTCCCTGTACCAGCAGGTTCAGCATCACCTGGGAACTTGTTAGAAATGCACATTCCCAGGTTCCGCCACAGACCTACTGCATGAGAAACCGGGAAGAGGACCCAGTACTCTGGTCTTCAACAAATCCCTTGGGTGATTTTGCTGCACAGCTTTTCCTGAAATGCCTTCCCACCTCCATTCCCCAGCCTGACTCTGAATCTCACCCTTCACTGTAAATGCCACGTCATAGGGAAGTCCCTGCCCAGGGCTGGATGAAACCCCTCGTTCATCTGGTCTCTTCTGAGAGCTCCACAGCTCACCCCTCCACTCACGTGGGTTCTGGGTGTGTCTGTCATCTGTCTTGTGCTTCATCTTGTCCCAAGTACCAAACCTGGCCAACAGTAGGCACGTAATAAATGACAATGAAATGATAACAGTGCAGGAGACGGCCAACAGAATACCGAGACGGTGCCTGTGGGGATCACGCAGGGGCTTGAGGTGAGCGAGAGGGGGCTAACACAGACCATCCCCCTTCCAGGTACAGCCTGTACACGCGCACCTGGCTTGGGTACCTCTTCTACCGACAGCAGCTGCGGAGGGCTCGGAATCGCTACCCCAAGGGCCACTCCAAAACTCAGCCCCGCCTCTTCAACGGTGAGTTGCCAGCACCCCCCATCTGGGTCTACCCCTCCCTCCCTCCCTGCCTACTCCCCGGGTATGCCTCCAGCGACCATGCTCCCTGGTCACCACCCCACCCACCCACAGCCCCTCTCTGTCCCCCCAGGAGTGAAGGTGCTTCCCATCCCCGTCCTCTCGGATAACTATAGCTACCTCATCATTGACACCCAGGCCCGGCTGGCTGTGGCTGTGGACCCTTCAGACCCTCGGGCCGTACAGGTGAGAGGGGCAGAGGAGTGCGTGGAATCACCCTTGGGAGCTGGCAGCTTGCTCTCACTAGAGAGGGGTGGATCCTTGTTCCTCTGCCAATGGGATATGGCACTTGCCACTCCTGCTCCTTCCTCAACCTGGGGCTGGATGCTCACTGTCTCCCATGCTGTATGTGGAGAGGTCTCTGTGTGCTTGCATGCACAGATGTGGGGAGGGGGTGTGACTGGCACGTATATACACACACACATAAACACACACACAGAGACCTCTATACAAATACACAGAGATACCCCACACAGCATGGAGGAGGGGCAAGCATCCAGAACAAGGTGGATAACATGAGGAGGGCAGGAGTGAGGGGACCAGGGCCAAAGGAGAGGATGCTGACCCCAGAAGTGAACCTAGTCGGTTTCCTGTCTGCCTCTTACTCTCTGTGGCCCCCTTTCTGACCCTCTCTTCTCTCCTCACTTCTGCCCGTCATTATTTGGGTCAGTCTTTCCCTCAGTGTGTACCATGTGTCTGTGTGTCTCTGTTCCCTCTCCTTTCCTCCCCACCACCTTCCCACTTCCCCTCTCCTCCCCATGCAGCACCTCACCCCACCCCACCTCTGCTTTGTGTCTCCCTCCAACTCTGCTCCTCAGCGTTCCTTCCTCTCTTCCTGCCAGGCTTTCATTGAAAAGGAAGGTGTTAACTTGGTCGCCATTCTCTGCACCCACAAGCACTGGTAAGGGGCTGGGTTGGGGAAATCTGATACAGTTTTCCTGGCCAACCCTTGCTTCAGCTGGACTTGCAGGACCGGGGCCAGTGAAGTGGGCTCTGAGGATCAGAACATCACGGTGGTAGGCAGGCCCCTTCTTCATGAAGTCAGTGGGGCACCAGCAGAGATGGAGCGAGAGCATTTCTGTGGACCTACTTCTAACTCCTGAAGACCCAGGGGAGGGGAGGGCAGAATTCATCTTCCATTCCATGGGCCTGGGCACCACTGTGGTCTCTGCCATAAAGGAGATGATGGTCCAGTAGTAGGATCCAACCCTGCATCAAATGGTCCACCATCCCCAGCATTGAGGGACCACTGGGCATGAGATTAAGAGTCTTGGTAGCACAGTGAATTCAGTATTGGGCTGCTAACTGCAAGGTGAGGTTTTCTGCTCCCATGATGATTTAGCCTCAGAACCCCTAGGGAGCAGTTCTACTCTATCCTATAGGATCCCTATGATTCGGAATCTCAACTTGATGGTATTGGGGGTGGGGGACACATCTCATGGAGGTGGGAAGCACCAGGTAGGATGTGGTGAAATCTACTTTGGGAACTTAGGGATGATGACCTTGGAGTTGAGAGAGTCCAGGAAGATGAGTCAGTATTGGCCAGCATGTTAAGAACAGGGGTGGGGGAGAAAGAGATGGATGACAGGTTGGGAAAGGGGAGACACTCGGGCAGGGGAACAACTTGAACAAAGACGTAGAGGTATAGACAGCCGGGTCCAGAAGTCACAGGCCCCAGGGTCAGAGGTCCAGAGATGCCATGGGGAGAAGGAATGCCTATAAGCCCAGGAATGGTCACCCCTCAAAGACCCCTCCCATCATACAGGGACCACAGCGGAGGGAACCGTGACCTAAGTCGGCGGCACCGGGACTGCCGAGTGTATGGGAGCCCCCAGGATGGCATCCCTTACCTTACCCAGTAAGTCCCTGACGTGGAGATGTGATCACCATTCTGGGGGCCCTTTCCCTCATCCTCCATCATTCAGTGGAGTATTCAGACCACCACTGATCCCTTCCTGGCTCCCCCTCCATCTGACCCAGTATGGTCCCCTGAGTGGAAGGGGGAAGGTTTGAGACCCTGAGCACTGGAGGTACCTTCTCTCTGGTGTGGAAGCCCACCCTCCTGCAAGTCAATCCGCAAAAGCTTTAGTGCCCTCCTTCTCCTCTTGTCTTGCCTCCCAGCCCCCTGTGTCATCAAGATGTAGTCAGTGTGGGGCGCCTTCAGATCCGGGCTCTGGCTACCCCGGGCCACACACAAGGCCATCTGGTCTACCTGCTGGATGGGGAGCCCTACAAGGGCCCCTCTTGTCTCTTCTCAGGAGACTTGCTCTTCCTCTCCGGCTGTGGTGAGTCCCCCAAGAAAGGGAGAAGTGGGAGGAAAGAGGGACAAAGGCCAGGGCGTCCCTGGTTCCGGACCATTCGCCCCAGTATATACTCCTGCCTGTTACCCTGTTGTTGCTTTTTTAATATCCTCAAGTCTTCCCAAGGGAATGGACAAGAGCGGGTGCCTGAATAAAGCCCTTGTCACAGGGCATTTGTGTGCACTGGTGGAGCCTGACTCTGAGGCAGTGACAGGAGGGACTAGGTTTTGAAATGCTGGGAGTCGCTGAGTAAAATGATTCTGCAGAGGCCGAGGACCTGAGTTCAGGCTGTGTTGAGTCCCAGAGGGCACCGTGGCCAGAGGCGTGCTCTGCAGAAAAGAGCAGGCCTGCCTCGGAGGGTTGGGGCTGGGAGAGCCAGCCTGAAGGCCCTGTACCCTCTTGATCCAGATGTCAAATTGTAGAATGGAGGGAACCCTACAGATGGGCTTGGGTGGGGGTGAATAATTAAACCCACCTCCCTGGAATGGGGAGTGAGTAAATATCTCAGGGCTTTCTGGTAATCAGCCTGAGCCAAATGGGCTAGTCCCCACCCCTCTCTGTGTATCTCATAACATACTCCCACTTTCCAACCAGGGCGGACCTTTGAGGGCACTGCGGAGACCATGCTGAGCTCACTGGACACTGTGCTGGGGCTGGGGGATGACACGCTGCTGTGGCCTGGTGAGGTCCCTCCCACCCCACTTTCCACACCTGCCCCAAGCTTGGTTCTCCCAGCCCCTCATTCCCCAAGAGACCAGCCAGGGCAGGGCAGAACTCCCTCCCTTCTTTCTGGAGTGTGTAGCACTGTTGGATAAGAACTGGACTGGTAACCACAAAGTTGGTGGTTCAAACCCACCAGCCACTCTCAGAAGCCCTACACATCTCTTTAACCTCTCTGCTTCTCACCCCACCATCCCCTGCCAGCCAGCCGTCAGCCTCTGGGGAGTCCTGAAGACCCCAGAGGGTCTCAGAGATATGTTTCATTTTTCATAGCCAGAGCCCAAAGCAGAAAGTAACTTTTGCTTACCTGGAGAGAAACCAGTCCCTAGATGAACTCAGTATATAGCCATCCATTGCTTTATACTTTATAAGGAGCACAGTAGCTTTGTAGGGTAAGAACTGGATTGTGAACCACAAGATTGGTGGTTCAAGCCCACCAGCTGCTCTGCTGGAAAAAGATGAGGCTTTCTGTTCCCACAAAGATTTACAGACTCAGAAACCCTATCCAGGGTCTCTGTGAGTCGGATTCCGGCACCAGGGTTATATTTTCTCACCATACTTACTCAATCTGCATGCTGAGCAAATAATCTGAGAAGCTGGGTTATATGAAGAAGAACGTGGCATCAGGATTGGAGGAAGACTCATTAACAACCTGCGATATGCAGACGATACAACCTTGCTAATGAAATCCAGGAGGATTTAAAATACTTACTGATGAAGATCGCAGACCACAGTCTTCGGTATGAGTTGCACCTCAAGGTAAAGAAAACAAAAATCCTCACCACTGGACCAATAAACAAAATCCATATAAATGGAGAAAAGATTAATGTTGTCTAAGACTTCATTTTGCTCAGATCAACCATCTACACTCATGGAAGGGGCAATCAAAAAATCAAACAATGGATTGCATTATGCAAATCTGCTGGCCAAGCAAGACCTCTTTACTGTATTTAAGAGCAAAGATGTCAGTTTGAGGACTAAGGTGCACCTGACCCAGACCATATTTTCAGTAGCCTCATATGCGTGTGAAAGTTGGATAATCAATAAGGAAGACCTTAGAAGAATTGATGTATTTGAGCTATGGTGTGGAGGAAAATATTAAAAGTACCATGGACTGCCAGAAGAACAGACCTTATCTATGTTAGAAGAGGTACTGCAAGAATGCTCCTTAGAAGCCAGGATGGCCAGACTTCATCTTTCATACTTTAGACGTATTATCACGAGGGACTATTCCCTGGAGAAAAACATCATGCTTGGCAAAGTAGAGGGTCAACAAAAAAAGGAAGACCCCCAAAGAGATGTAATGGCACATGGCAGCAGCAATGGGCTCAAACGTAGCAATGATTGTAGATTGGTGCAGGACCAGATAGTGTTTCATTCCATTGTGCATATAGTCTCTATGAGTCGGTACCAACTCAACAGCACGTAACAGCAACAACATGAGTCTGGAACTAACTTAATGACAATTAACAACAACAACAACAGAAATAGTTTCTAAAACACATTCAAAATATGTTGGTTAATCTTCAGGACATTCACTCATTCATTCCTTCATGTGACAAAATACTTTATAGAACACCAGCCCTGTGCCAGGCTTTGCCCTGGGTATCAGGGAGTAACATTTGTGTCTTGATGGGCATTATTGTTTTCTCCATTTTTCACGTGAGAAGATTGAGGTCCAGAGAGGTGGCATGACTTGTCTAAGGTCACATGGTGTAACAGGCAGGGGCAGAGTTGGGCTAGAATGCAGGTCTACTAGATTCATCGTTTGCCCCCAAACTTCCTCTACCTCTTAACTCACGATGATTTGTGAAGCAGTGCTAGGTGGTTGGGATTTTCCTGGGAGCAGCGCATTCCTCCAGGTTGTCAGGCACCCAAATGTGGCATAGGCCTGGGGGTTGGAGTACTTTTATTGACCACACCACCAATCTCTGTCCTGTGTCCCCCTTGGCTGTCCCTAGGTCATGAGTATGCGGAAGAGAACCTGGGATTTGCAGGTGTAGTGGAGCCTGAGAACCTAGCCCGGGAGAGGAAGATGCAGTGGGTGCTGAGGCAGAGAATGGAGCGCAGGAGCACGGTGCGGTCCAAGGCGGGGCCTCCAGAGACAGTAGGCCCCGAGGGCACCTCCTCAGAGCTCTGACAGGCTTGGTCCTGGGACCTTCAACTCAGGATTTTTGGACCTAGCATGGGAAGTGGGGGCGGGGAGCTCCCCAAATTGGGCCCATTTTCCAGATTCTTTCCACCAAACCTGGCGCCTCTCACCCCACAGTGCCCATCAACCCTGGGAGAGGAGCGCTCCTACAACCCCTTCCTGAGGACCCACTGCCTGGCGCTGCAGGAGGCTCTGGGACCAGGCCCGGGCCCAATGGAGGACGATTGCTTCTCCCGGGCTCAGCTCCTGGAAGAACTGCGTCGCCTGAAGGATCTGCACAAGAGCAAGTGATGCCCCCACCCCACACCAGCCCATCCCCAAGGCGGGGCAACTGCCCACTGCTGCACCTCATCATCCCTCTCATTGCCACCACCACCACCTCCATCAGCACCCAGAGCTGCCATCCTTCCACCACTGGTCAGGGGGAGGAGGGACAATCCCTGCGACTGGAAAAGGGGGCCTGGTGTAAGGTTTGGGAGACCCCAGGGAGTGAGGCTGAGTTAGAAGGGGCGGCAGGAAGGGAGGGGCCTCGGGACATCCCCAGTCTGCTGACTGGGAGGGTCCCAAACCCAGGGCAGCAAGAGCAATGAAGGGATTAAGTCCATCTTCCCCTTTCCCCATTCCAGGTGGAAAAAAGTCAGTTCCCCAGGAGGCCTAAGGTGCCTTGGAAAAATGGTGGCTCTGGGAGCCAGCGAGCTCTGGTTTACGAGACACTGCCCCACCCTGCCCCTGCCCTTCCACCGCGCAGGCATTTCTCAGACGAAGCCATTCCGCAGAAGTCCGAGCTCCTCCATTTTTAGGCCAGCCCCGCCCCCAGGCCTTCTGGCCAATCCCCTCTAGCCTGGAAGAGGGCTAGTCCTGGTTGCCAAGGAAACCTGGCCCACAGGCTAAAGAGACACCTGAGGCTGGTTGATGGAACCCCACAGACTGTTTTATAGGTCACGCGTTCATCTTGCACTGCAGGCCTGATCCTGCCTGTTGGCCTCTGCCCCTGCCGGAGGCCTAAGGGTTCCTCTGACCCAGGGGAGAGCGCCACGGTCGGCCTTGCCACTGTGACGGTCCTTATTTTTGGCCCTTATTTCCAGAGTATTTGCCTTCCCCTATCTAACTTAATTCCTTCTGCTTTGTCCGCAGCCCTTCTTCGATTGTAGTTACAAGGGCTCATGTTTAAGCCTCCACATTCATCTGGTCTTTGCAGTTTGCCAAGAGCTTTCCCATGTGGTTTCTCCTTTGATCCTTAGCTCCATGAGAGAATGGGGGCGGCTTGGGCGTGGGGAAGAGGGGGCGGGGAGGCTGGGGAGGGAGGACCTGCGCCTGTGTGGCAAAGAGCAGGAATCAGTCTGGGACCAGAGAACTCCTAGCATCTTCCAGGACCCCAGACCTGGGCCACCGCCTCTGCCCATTCAATCTCCCAACTCATCTCCAGTCTTGGGTCCAAATCCTTTTGGGGTCCACGTAAGGACCCCAAGTAGGCGGGCTTCGCCTCAGCTAGGAGCCTTTTCTTAATGTACGGAAGCCTTTCCTGGGGCTCTGCTCATGTCTGGTGACCCTCCAAGTGGCCCCTACCCTCAAGTGGCCCCTCATCTTACGGCGTCTGCCCCCCACCCCACCCCCCGGGTCCCAACTCTAGCAATACCGCCAGACTAGTTAGACTACCCTGCCCTCAACACACGCAGTATCATGCCTCTGTGCCTTCGCTCATGCTGTTTCTTCCGGACTGGAATGCCTTTACTCGCTTCCCCTGCCTTGTCTGCCTGGCAAACATCTATTCATCTCTCACAGTCCTGCTCAAAGTCCCCCTCCTCCAGGAAGACCACTGCAATGCCCCTCCCCCTCCAGGCTACCTCTGCACTTTGTAAATGCTTCTCTTATGGCATTTATCCCATTGTATTTTACTTGTTTACATGTTTGTCTCCCCTTCTAGACTGTGAATCCTTAAGGGCATGGACTGTATATCTTATGCATCTCAGTATTTCTGCGCCTAGCACGGTGCCTGGCACACAGTAGGCGCCCAATAAATGTTAACTGAATGATTTCACTGAAGCTTGATAACTTGTCTTTATTGCTGGTTGAATGACAGCCAACTACCCTCCTTCCCACCATTTTCCTTTCTTGGGTACAGACTTACCTGGAGTTACTAGACTTCAAGAGCTTTGGCCAGAATCTACACAGATTGTTTTCCATGGCACAAAAGCAGTTCCTCAAGGTTTACACTGGCTTACCTCAGTGTTATCCAAGATTTGAGGTGTGCAGTTGTGGCCACAGGGAGGTAGTGTTAGATGGTCACAACACAGCAGTGACTAACGTGTTGCAGGCAAGGTTTATTAAGCCTTTTAAAGAGAGCCCAAAGCCAACCTGGTTAAGTAGTAACTAGGGACAGCAGCCGTTTCTTTTCAATGTATTTGTTTTTAGAGTTTACTTTTGACAAATGACACTTGTTTCCATTCATGGAAGTGATTATAGATATAGTTATTCAAGTAAGAAAACATGAAATAAAGAATAAAACTAGGATAAATGAAAAAGTATTGCTACTTCAACTAGGGACTTAGAAGCTCGTGAGAAGCCATTCAAGGTACAATTACTGGTCTCTTTCTTCAAAGAAGAGTGAAGAAAATGGAGGATGCCTGGAAGTAATCAGTCCAATGGACCACACGAACATCAGCCTCCATGACTCTAAGTACAAAAAACAAGATAATGCTTAGCTACTGTTACCAACTTCTCTGTAAGAGATCACACTAGAATATTCTGGACAGAGTGGAAGAAAAATTTGGAACAAAACTCAAAATCATAAAAAGACTTGGCTTTTAAAAAAAAAAAAAAAGACCTAGCTTTCTGATCAGATAGAGACTGGTGGAACCATCTAGACTTGGCTCTTAGCCACCTTTCAGGTTTGAATCTGAACTCATCCCCTAGGCTCGATTTTCAGCTAACCAATAGATTTAGAAGGGGCACAGTAACACTAGGGAGGTTCACAGTCCTTAGAATAATCAACCAGTTGATTAAAAAGGCAGTATTTACCCAAGAACAAAATTCAGAAGGATTATGAAAGAAGGAAGAATGGAAACAGAAACCACAGAGAGGAAATGGGATAAATGATACCATATTGGTAAGTGTGGAGTGCAGTCAGTGAGGTGAAAGAAAGTGTGTATGAATTATTGAATAGAAAGTTTGTTTGCTCTGTAAACCACCCAATTCACAACAAAAGGTTTTAAAACACTACTAGAGTTCATACGTGTATGTACTGGTTTATCCTAAACTAAGCATGTTTAAATGTATCTCTGCGATCTATGGATAAGTTCTCTCAGTAATACACTTGTCTTAGTCTCATTGGGGCAGTCTTGTTGGCATAATCGGTTACACTTTGAGGTGCTAATCAAAAGGTCAGCAGTTCTAATCCACCAACCAGGTGGATTGTTTTTCTTTGAGATTACCCTATAATTTATTGTTTTTTCCCCCTGCTTAAAACAGTCTGTTTTGTCTTGAAATCTATGTGACTTCTTTGCCATTTGGAAGTTCTATATCTACACTCTTTCATCTTTTTGCTTTGTAGTTGACTTCATTATACCTTGCTATCTCTGGTTCCCTATTTTCTGTCGTGTGGGTTTGTTTTATTTTAAATACTTCTATATCTGGATTGAGTTCTGGGTGGTGGTGTCATGTATGTTAATCTCAGGTTGTTGTCTGATGTTGTTGGGTCTCAATTCAAAGAATACCCTTTAGAATTTTTTGTAAAATTGGTCTCGTCATTACAAAATCTTTTAATTTCTATTTATCAGGAGGCATCCTAAATTTGCCATAGTATTTGAAGGGCAGCTTTGCTGGGTATATGATTCTTGGTTGGCCATTTATTTTTCTTTTAGAGTTTTGTATATGTCATTCCATTGCTTTCTTGCCTGCATGGTTTCTGCTGAGAAATCAGAGCTTAAGCTTATTGGTTCTCTTTTTTTTTTTTAAGGTTTTTATTGTGGATTGTGTGAAAGTTTACAGGGCACATCATCAGTTTCACATTCAACCATTCATATGACTTGTTTCATTACATTGATTATAATCCCCTTATTGGTTCTCTTTTGTAGTTAACTTCATTTTTCCCAAGCTGTTCTCAGTATTCTCCCCTTGTCTTTGGTTTTGGAAAGTTTGATTATGATATGTCTTAGTGATTTTCTTTTGGGATCTCTCCTGTTTGGGGTATGTTCTGCTTCTTGTATGCTTATCCTCTCATCTTTCATAATTTTAGGGAAGTTTTCTTTCAACAATTCTTTGACAATTTTCTCTGTGCTTTCTATTGTCTCTCCTATCTGGAATTCTGATCCTCTTCATGGTGTCCCACAGAACTCTTAGACTTTCTTCAGATTTTTTCTTTCTTTTTTCTGATTGTTCTTCTAGCATACTAGTATTGAGCGATATATCTCCAAGCTCACTAATTTGGGCTTCTATTGCTTCAAATCAATGTATTGCCCATTTCTGAAATTTTGGAATTAATCTTTGGATTTCTAATTGCAGGCTTTGTATTGTTTCAAAATTTGCATTTATTTTGTCTGTTTGTTCCTGTAATGTTTTCCTGAATTCTTCTAAAGTTTTTTCTGTGTTCTCCTTGCTTTCCTTGATCTTTCTGCCAGTCCTTTGAGGGTACCTAAATGTTATTCTTTTGAATTCTTTTTCAATTCTTTTGATTACCTTTTCTTCCTCAGAAACGTTTTCTGGTCCTGTATCTTGGCCATCTGTTTGAGTCATTCCCTCTTATTTCTTCATGTGAGCTAAAATCGTCCGTTGTCTCCAGGGGGTTGTCATATTTATATTTAATTGATTATTTTATGTTGATGCAGTCTTAGGCTCTCACCAACTGCCTCCTGTGGGTGTAGTTAGAGATTGAAAGCATGTACACCATTTTCGTTTGCCGTTTGTGCACTTTAGTTTAGGGTGGGTTTGGCTGGTGCTAGCCACTATCTATCATTGATCAGGTAATATAGGAGTTGGCATTGGCTCTTGCGCAGTGGGTGAAGCTACAAACGGTACAGTTGTGGCTGTGTTGTAAGGGCACAGTTACTGTCTCCTATGGGTAGGGAAAGAGAAAACCCCTCTCCCCATATGCAAGAAAACAAAACAGAACAAACAACAATGAAAAGAGGAAATAATAAAGAGAAAAAAATGAAAAACAAAGAGGCACAGGGACATGGGACTATAGAAGAGAAGAAATAAAAAGAAGAAAACTTAAAAATATACTAGAATCACCAGCAAGAGAGAAGATGAAAAGAGAAAGAAAGAGAGTAGTAAAGAAAGTTCAAGGGGTGGGGGAAGAGAGAGAGGAAAAAGGGGGAAATGAGTACCAGAAGAAAAGAAAGAAAAACAAAAGCAGAGATAGGATAAAATTCAAGGGAATAGAAAGAGAAGTAGAAAGAAACTAAAGAATAAACAAACAAACACATGAAACAACAACAACAAAAGTGCAGTT